TACATAAATCACAGTTCCACATGAGTCAAATATGAGGCCAGGGGTAACATAAATAATTAACAAACTTGAGTCAAATGATAAATTTTTTCGCCAGCAAGGACGAGCGAGGAGAAAGATAAGTTCGTTTAATATTTATGACAAAAACAGAGGGGATACAAGATACAATATATGTACATATATGCTTGTATTGTTTATTCTGAATGCCCTTGGCACTTGACACTTGAGTGGCCCGGGAAGCCGGTGGAAGCTCTCGGGCAACTCCTCCTCCTCCTATCTCGTCTCTAATCAGGGCCCAAGGGGGTGCGATCTGGCCCTGTTGTCGGTGTGATTTACGAGCTCCCCAATCATTCGTGACACAAGACCAAACAACAAGGCACTCTTCTGCCACATCCTAACCATCATAATTCGTCATTGCATTTGATTTTATTTCAGCGTTATTTATTTGAATTATTTATTTATCCTATTATTGGAGGAAGGCCCTAAGTCTGACCAAGTCCTGGTCGCATAAGTTGCTTCCTAGGGTGGCAATCTACCATCTCTGAGGGTAGGGTAGGGTGTGTGTGTGTGGCTATGGCCACAACACGCCCCGTACATTTGACATTATTGTCCGTTTCCCTGCATGAATATTCGTAATATCGCCCAACATATGTCCATTTGCGTGTCCCAGCCCTGTTCCCAGCCCTGTTCCCAGCTCAGCTCCCTGCTCTGACCCAGCTCTGGCCAATGCCAATCAATAATTCGGACTGGATAAAGATTTATTGGTTTTGCATTTGCCCATCGCACGATATTCCCCAAACGAATCCATGGAATGGAATCAGAGGTCTGCACATTTATGTATGCCAAGACATTTGTTTTTAGGACAGACTACCGTCCAAACTGGTAATTACAAATACGAATAATTGAGTAGTTATTCATCGAGAAGTATTATCTTTCGAATGCTTGCTTTGGTCCAAGGATAAAATTCATTATGCTAAAAATATTAATGAACTAGAGAGAGTGTGGGAATATCTTGAGGAACACCTAAGGAGGTAATAGACTAAGAAAAAGAACAACAATTGGATTAATAAAAGCTAAGTAACTTGTTAACTAAAAAGTGTTCAAAGTTAGTAACTGATTATACATACATATGTACTTACTGGTCATAGTTACTTACTGTTTAGAGTTACAAGTTATTCAAAATCGAAAACTTTATTATTTATGTGCTAGCAAAATATTATAATTTTAGTCCGAAGCTTGCAACGCGGTGCAAGAGTCATTTCCTAACAGCACCATCATCAGCCCTCTCCCTCTTTCCCTCTTTCCCTCTCTCTCGCTCTCTCGCTCTCGATCACTATGTTATTGGGAATGTCCAACTCCCACTGTGCAACTCCAGAGCTAACTCTTTATCTGCCTCTCGCTTACTCTCTCGCTCTCACTTTCTCTATTCTCTTGCCTCGGGAAGTATAAATAGAGGCACTTCATTCGCCGCGACCTCAGTCAGTCCTAGGGGTACCTAGTGTAAACATCGACAGTGATAGTGATTGTGATAACTCTTCAACCGCAACAAGATGACGTGGCCAAGGGAATGCATCTGGATAAACAGGAAGTGATCTTCGATGCCATGACTACCCAAATTGAAGGAAGGAAGTAAACAATGACGTGGCCTTCACTGAGGTAAGTCTTAATCATGACTATTATACTATTTATATATGTAGATGCATAAGATATGATCAGGCCTTGGTCTAGATTCAGCTGTGCTACCTATGCACGTGTTTGTTCCAATTAAATTCGATAAAAATATGTTAAAAACTGTTAAAACTACAGGACCAGGTTACCCAATCATTAACTTGTTTCTCTATCAGCACCTATAATTACCTTGTACAGATATACATATATAGGAATCCAAAACACATATCTCGACTACTTAACATTGCTCCATCAATAAAAGTCCTGGAATGGGATACTCCAGCGTTGACACTCTAATAGGGAACTCTTACTTTTAAGGACCTTCTGCACCTCCACCCACCTACTCCACCTTATCCTGGCCAACCATTGTTTCTTTCCCTAATTATTGCACGTGCATGTGTGTCTGCTCGTTGCAGACAAATAAATTTGCGGTGATTTGTTGACGTGTGTGAATGGACAAAAGGCATTACGGGCCACTCCCCCGCCGCCAAAGTAGTAACTAGGACGAATTTAACTACTACTCGACGATTACGCAGAAAACACTCTGGAAAAGAATTGCTCCAGCTTTGGGTCCGTGTCCGTACTTTATGTCCCATCAATATACGCCTACGCCATGAGGTGAGTTCCGGGATACCGATGCCATGGTCGCCATGGTTGCCATGGCGGAAATGGCAACGATGTGGAAAGGCTAGCGAGACGGGACCCCATAAAGAAAAACTTCATTTATTCGCAAAAGAAATAAATCTTTTAATGCACATCGGAGAGTCGTTATTCGGGCATTGTTTTCTCATTTGCCACAACACCTCCAAGCCAGCCCTCGTCCACGGATTCTGGCATGGAGGCGGAGTATGTCGTGCCATTCAGCCATCCACCGGAGTGGAGTGGACCCCAAGGTCCAAGACAGGGACAATTTGGCTGGAGCATCCCGCTTCGTATCCTGTCAGGACAAATGAACGGTGAATGGCTATTTCAATGATTCTAATTATGAAGCCGCCCAGCGCAAAAGTTTGTTAAGTATCGCGTGCATCATTGTTATTGTTTTTCTTTGCCGAACCCAGAACCCAAGATCCGCAGAGAGCAGACAAATAGCTTTGTTGTATGGCTATAGCACAGGCGAGGTCAATAGGTTAGCAATAAATGATCAAAGGTAATGCAAAGAATAAGATGCTTAGAGCGAGAGGATATGAATTTAGAAATTAAAGCTATTTATAGGCTAGAAATAAGTATAAGTAAAGAAAGTCTAAAATGAAAGGGAGAAGAAGAGAAAAAATGCTTTTGGATAGTATACAGACAGACAGATCTAGAACGCTCTTTCTATAAAATTTTAATACCCAGAGTATTATATGGGGTTACTTGTCCTTCGATTTCTTCCCAAAAACACACAACAACTAATAAAAACCTTAACACAATTAAAAATTAAATTAAAATTAAAGAAAAAGATAAATCGCAAATATCCTTTTGATACTTGCTGTTTCTATTTAGTTAACATCTGCTGTAACTCTTGTCGTTTGTATGTCTCTCGCCCATTTCCGTTCATTGGGTGGGCGGAACGCGTTCATTAGGTTGCCACCCATCCACTCATTCCGTCGCAGGACCTTCGCATCGTCATGCAAAATGTCCCACAAGGCAATTGCCATCGGTCGAGCCCAAGCCGAAGGATGTGTGTGCATGAGAGCGTGGCTGTGACCTGTGAAAATGCCTGTGTCAAGTTGTGAGTAATAACACGGAAATGCCAAAAGAGAAAGGACAACCGAAGCACAGCTCGTAAAATAGCCAAAAAGGAGCAGACTTTTTTGCAGAATCGATTCGTAGATACTCTATCTAAACGGTCTGTGGTCTAGTAGCAGTTATTAATTTGGTATTTAATTAGGGAAAGCGTATATATATTTTAAAGTATTTAATAATTATAATGTTTACTGTGTTAAATGGTTATTGCAGTACATTGTTTGAACATTTTAATTAGGCTTTACATATAGGGATCTAAATTGAACGATAAAGTTCGATTATATCCTTTTCCGATTATATTGGTTCGATACATCCAACAGAATAAAATTTATCGCTTATTAATCGCAAAGTTAAGATATCGATTTAATTATATATCGACTCTAGCATTAAATATAATTACAGTATCGATATATTGATATTTTCTTCTTAGATTTTAAGGTAAATCTCAATTCTCTTTTCAAATTTATTCAAAAATACCTCCAATATCTTAACTTATTAGTCTTCTTGTCACTACAGATCATGACCATATAGTATATTGTCACATTTTTGCTCAGTACAAGCTTCATGACATTGGTAATTACATCGCCTGAAGTTGCTCTGACAAATGTTGCAAACAAAAAAAGACATTAATTAGCCGTACGTGTCCATGCATTACTGAAGTATTTGTTGTCGCTGGCGTTGGTCTCCATAATAGCTCCTCCGCTGTCCTGCCCTGCTCTGCTCCTGTGTGTCACAATGATGTGGAGAGCCAGGACCCAAGCACACATAAAGCTCCAGGATGAATGGACCTTCCATAGAAAGCACCCGCATATGTTGGATGTGTGCACATAATTACGAATGCCCTTGTTTCTTGCACAGCCAGCGAGAAAGTTAAATTGCAGAAATCGCAAAACTTTAATATATGTTATACCCAAGTTCAACTCCCTCCCATTCTGGGCGAAAGTCAAAGTAATGGCGTTGCGTAATTAACGAGACTCTGGGGAGTTTCAGTCGATGAAACATGTTAGCTAAGGATTTCAATGGAACTACAAATATCCATTACAAATTCCCATGCATTGCAATATAGATAGATGTTTTCTCGGGGAATGCTGCATATGAAAGTTGGGAAATTTTTATTAAGTAAATCGATTAAATATTGATATTAACGCTGAAGTTCGACGGCAGAAGTCACTGTTTTCTGTCAATATTTTTCACATTTAAGTACATTAAAGTATTATTATTTTATTAATAAAGAAAGGTTCCCAAAACAAAGCTAAGCTTTAAGTCTATACAAAAAAACATTACTTTGATGTATAACAAAAAATAGTATAAAGTTAAAAAAGTTCGATAATTAAGAGGATTAAGAAAGGTCACATAATCTCCACAACCTTTAAAATTTGGTTTGTAATTCAAAAAAAGGTATTTCAAGTTAATACAAATGGTATAAATAAGTATATCCTTATGAGTGCTTTAGTTATTTAATGATAGCATATGAAATAATTTAATGGGTGAGAATAAGAACTAATCCAACTCCTTTGTGCTTAACCCTATAATCCAACTGTATTGATATAAAAAAAATAGTAATTATAATTATAATTCATTAATTTCTTGCATTAATTTCTAATTTCCTACTACAACGTTATCTTATAGTTTGTAGCATTATTGGTTCTGTTAGCACTTGTCTTGACTTTCTTTTTGTTTGGTTTGTAAGGAGCATTTCCCATTGTCAGGGCAGCCGAGTTGCGTTCCTCTGGACGAGCCAGGTCATAAGGTGTCCTTACAATCTCTGGAAGGTGGGCATAGTATACGATCCTCTCATTCCGTACCGGTGGAGGAGCCAGGTCGGGTAGCTTGGCAGACTCATATTTGCTATTCCTATACGAATCAGGCAATGCCATGGGATCATCTATATATGCACGTCGTGATTTCACATAATCCCGGGCTGCAGGTGTGTCCAAATATCGATCGGGATACATAACATAAGGATCCGGATATTGTGGAACTCGGGGACTATAGCTGTCATAGGGATCAAAGCGGGAACGATGCATATACATATCCTCAAAGTATTGCGGATAAGAGCGATGGTATTGCTCATCGAATCTATAATATATATATATATATATATTATAAGGATTAGGATTAGTTTCTGTGACTTTAAAGGAATCTATAGATTCTCCCTGTAAGGTTTTCCCTTGCTTACCTATCATAGCGACGTATATAGGGATCATATGATCTGGAGGGATACATGGGCTTGTCGGAGTATACCCCATACCAGGACACTGGTTTGTGGGCATTCCCATTCACAGGTCGATTCAGGGATGCCAAATTGCCTTCACCATGAATTTTGAGAGCAGATGTGGCTGCTCCGAGCTCATTATCCGGACCATAGGAATCACCTGTGCTGCGTCTTGGACCCAAGTAATACTCATAGTCCGAGTAACCACCGAGTGCCTTTTGGAACTTTAACAGTTGTGGCTTACTCGGATCCAATTGAGATCCTGCGGTTGCCACATCCTCAGCTCCTAGGTTGGGACTCCGATCCATATCCTCGAAGCTAGGATCGGCAGATGCGAAGGCCACCAGCAGCAGTAGAAGCAGCAGCATCATCACTGTGTCTGTGAACTTGTCCTTGGACATGGTGTCAGGTGAATTTGGGAACGCAGTAGAACCGATTCCGTCGGAGCACCAGGTGGAACTGGCTCACTAATCGCTGCAAAACGATGTCCACAGGTTGGGCCTTTGAGGGCACAATGAAGCGGCGACATGGTGAGTTGAACTCTAAAGGCCCCATTGTGCTGGACGCTTTGTTGACCATTCCATTGGAGCAGTCAACCGCAAGAATGGGCTCCCCAACTTCATCTCTGCACGGGAATAAATTGAAATAGTTTAGAATTGATTTTAAAAAAATATTATAGGGAATCTTAATGGTAAAGTTTAGGGAAATATTACATGTAATTAAAGATAATCTATATTTCTGGGACTGAAAAAAATGAAGGGGAGTACATGACCCACTTCAGGGGCTGGTTAAATATAACCCCCTTTTTTTCTGAGTAAACTGAATGCAGTCCAGAATCTAATTTGGGTGTGTCATGCTGCTCCAGTATGGCGGATCTGCATCTGGTTGACATTTCACACTTCGCTGACCAATATCGCTCTCGACAACGATTTCCCATTGCACATTGTTGTTTTGTTGGGAAAGTCGGATGCATAAAGTACGTACACCTCTCCACGGATGGTTGGGGGTCTGTAAAAATTGTTTCAAACCAAAACTATCAAATGAACTACAACTTGTATATGTATATTTAAGATAAGCCTGCAGTTAAAAAATTTAATTAAATTTTATTTTATTTATTTATTTACATTTTAGTTGCATTAAATTGAATTTACTATAATTAAATATTTATTCTATTTATAATACACAGTCGAAAATATATTAAAGTTATAATCTTAATGAATACATTTTTTTATATATATTTTTATTCAAATTTTTAAATTTAAAAAAGAATTTAAATTATTGCACAGCAATTTAACAAATTTTCGTTATATTTATAGACTTCCAAAATGTTTTTTGCTCTTCAAAATAATACAATGCATTCAATTTATTAATTTTATTTATAATTTTTAAATATTGTATTTATAAATTTTAAGTTAATTTTTATATCCCTGCAGGGTATTCTAATTTTAGTCAAAAGCTTAAAACGCTGTGAAATACTCATTTCCGACCCTATAAATCATATATATTCTTGATCAGCATCAAAAACTGAATCGATCTAGGTATGTTTGGATGAACCAAAATTTTACTTAATTTTTTTCAAAATTTTTTAAGGGGTTACATCGTTAAAATTTTCAAAAATTCAAGAAAATTTTAAGTTTTTTAAAATTTCAATTTGAGTTTGCAGATTTATAAACCTTATTAAAACTAGCACAGGACAGCTTTCCGAATTTAATTTAATTAATTTTTTGCTAAGTTGTGGTTAATTTAAGATAAGGCTTCTGATCCAAATTTTAGGGTATATGAGGCTTCTGATACTACGCAATTAGCTTCCTCTCTCGTGATGTATTTTCAAATATTTTATTAAAAACCTATTATGTATATTTGTGAGAAACTTCTTTGTATTTCTAGGTAACGAAATAACTTCTCTTCTTTTTTATAACCAAGCAAAAGTGTATTAATTTCAACAAATATAATAACAAATCAGTAAATTTAATTCCTTTAACAAGCTAAATTTGAATAGACAAGTTTCCCACCACACTTTTAAATCACAACTAAAGATTTTTTCCAAGTTCTTAACCTTGTACCATTTCCCGGACACCTTTTTTGGTATATTTTTCAGAATATTTTATATACCCTTGCACAGAGTATTACGGCTTTGAAGGAAATATTTGCAAATTTATTGTTATATACCTTTAATAGTTTATTATAAATTACCATCTGATGAGTTAATCTAGCATGATATGTTTGTGTTTCATCACCTTTATCTTTTGCTGGTAATATTCCATAGCAATTAATGTGTGTACTTATAAGGGCATACTAACTTCGACTTCGACAAAGTCTGGTGAAAACCAGACGGTAGAAAACCGTACGAACCAATCTGGTATATTGGAGTGATGAAGCTACGGTCACACAGCTGACTCCGATTCGATCCAATTGTAAACAGGCTTTTCTGGTGAAGGCTTAATGCACTTTGTACCCGCGATACGGCACTGCACCGAACGGCGCTAATCTTTGCGAGCTGTAAGACCATCCCATCTGATAATCCAGAAGATTCTCTACTCTCCAAGACCTGTGGTAAGTGGTGGAAGTGCAACTGCACCGATCTCTACACTGGAAGATAGTTTTATATCTCTGTGCAAATGCTATCGTGCCACCCCACGAACTGAACCATGAACCGTGGACTTGGACCAAGTCAGTGGTCTCTTCGGGATCCTCTCACTCTCTCAATCGTTCTCCAACTCACTTGCACACTTGCGCAGAGCGATAAGGCCTATCTGGGACGAGATTGCACTGGGATTTCAGCGATATCTAGGCCTTAGCTGACCTGCCATTGATTTGCTTTACTCATTCCTCAGCTGAGAGCGGTGACGAGTTGATCAAACCAAAACCATGTCCTCATCCGATGGAAAACTGCGCTACGATGGCCGTGTGGCTGTGGTAACTGGAGCCGGCGCAGGCCTGGGCCGTGAGTACGCATTGCTGCTTGCCGAGCGCGGTGCCAAGGTGGTGGTCAACGACCTGGGCGGCACCCATTCCGGCGAGGGAGCTTCGCAGCGTGCCGCTGATATTGTCGTCGAGGAGATTCGTCGGGCTGGTGGTGAGGCGGTGGCCGATTACAACTCGGTTATTGATGGGGCAAAGGTCATTGAGACCGCCGTGAAGGCCTTTGGACGCGTCGATATCCTGGTGAACAACGCTGGCATTCTGCGTGACAAGAGTCTGGCCAAAACCAGCGAACAGGACTGGAATCTGGTTCACGATGTCCATCTGAAGGGCAGCTTTAAGTGCACCCAGGCAGCGTTCCCACACATGAAGAGCCAGAACTATGGACGCATTATCATGACGTCCTCGAACTCTGGCATCTACGGCAACTTTGGACAGGCCAATTACTCGGCGGCCAAGATGGGTCTAGTTGGTCTGGCCAACACGGTGGCCATTGAGGGTGCCCGCAACAATGTCCTGTGCAACGTCATCATTCCCACAGCCGCCAGCCGCATGACCGAGGGCATCTTGCCCGATATCCTCTTCAATGAGCTGAAGCCGAAGCTGATTGCCCCGGTGGTGGCCTACCTGTGCCACGAATCCTGCGAGGATAATGGTGAGAAGTACAGCTTAATCTTGCTAATCTTATGGAGATTGTGCTCCATATTTCGCACTTTAAGCTTTAAAGTATAAACCCATTGCCCTTTCCGGTCTTCTGCAAAGATTAGCATAGCTTTTGCTTATTCTGATACCGCCGCTGCTTATCGTGGTGCGATTAGAGTCCACCACCAACTATAGAATGTACTTTGACAGACCCCAATTAATAGCGCTCTTTAATCCATAGGTAGTTACATCGAAAGCGCCGCCGGCTGGGCCACCAAGGTGCACACGGTGCGTGGCAAGGGTGCCGTCCTGCGTCCATCCATCAACGATGCAGTCACCCCGGAATACGTTAAGAACGTATGGTCACAGGTGACGGATATGTCCAAGGCCAAGCATTTGGAAGCCATCGGTCAGGCATCCGGTACTCTGCTGGAAGTGCTCGAGAAGCTAAAGGCTGGCGGCGGTGAGGCTGTGGAGGACACCTTTGAGTTCGACAGCAAGGAGCTTATCACCTATGCGTTGGGCATCGGTGCTTCAGTGAATAACGCCCAGGATATGCGTTTTTTGTACGAGAACGATGGAGACTTCGCTGCCATTCCATCGTTCTTTGTGCTGCCCGGCCTCCTGCTGGCCATGTCCACTGACAAGCTGATGAGCAAGGCTCTGCCCGGCAAGCAGGTGGACTTCTCCAACATTTTGCATGGTGAGCAGTATCTGGAGATCGTTGATGATCTGCCCACCAGCGGCACACTGGTAACCAGTGGCCAGGTGTTTGATGTGATGGACAAGGGTTCCGGTGCTGTGGTCGTGACCAACACTGAGTCCTTTGACGAAAGCGGACGCCTGCTGGTACGCAACCAGATCAGCACTTTTGTCGTCGGTGCGGGAAAATTCGGTGGCAAGAAGGAGCCAATTGCTGGTGTTGTTCCGGTGCTGCCGCCTCCTAAGCGTCAACCGGATGCATCTACCCAATATGCGACCAGTGAGAATCAGGCAGCGCTCTACCGCTTGTCCGGCGATCGCAATCCCCTACACATTGATCCCCAGATGGCCCTGCTGGCCGGCTTCAAGGCCCCCATTCTGCACGGTCTTTGCACTTTGGGCTTCTCGGTTCGCGCGGTTCTCGCCCGGTATGCCGACAATAATCCGGCACTTTTCAAGGCAGTCAAAGTGCGTTTCTCCGGTCCCGTCATTCCGGGCCAGAGCCTACGCGTGGATATGTGGCAGGAGGGAGCACGCATCTACTTCCGCACTGTGGTGGTAGAGACCGGCAAGGAGGTCATTTCGGGGGCCTATGTTGATCTTAAGAGCAGCAGCAAGGCGAAGCTATAAATTTGACGATAAACGCCAAATGGCGTTGTAAAAATATGTATACATCCTGTGGTGGTAGAAGTATTTCGCATGTCAACTGTTTTTTGTAACCTGCAAATAAAGTAGATTGTTTTCTTTTTTTTTACATATTTCGAGAGTTCCAGATTTGATGATGATAAACCATGCTTTGAGCATGGTTCAACATCAGAAAAAAACACTGGTTGTGGTTTATGTTTTTGTGAAATTTATAAGTCTTAGGGATATTAGGTAAATAATAATAATTGTATAAATTAGTTTCAATAACAAAAATTAATAATATAAATCATTTTTAATGACTAAGTTAATGCTGGACGAACAGAACAGGGTGCGGAAGAGCGGGCTCGCGCTCCCCCCAGGCTGTTCCTCAATCAAATTCCTTGATAGTTTATGTTTTTTAAAATTCCGTAGTTTTGGCAGCTTAGAGCGACAACAAATGAGGCAAACTCCCCCACACAACACTGTGTTCATAGCAGGTTTTTAGGAAGCTGGTGGTTTTTCTTCTCCTCCTGAGCCTGAGCCGGATGCTCCGCTGTCCGTCGTACCCTTCCAGAGCTGACAACCTGACGACAATTTTACAACTGATGCAGGATGCCATTGGGACGCTTAGAAAACAATATTGTTTTGCAGTTGTGTCAATGTGGAACCAAAATGAATGCTTTCAGGCAGATTCTTGATTTGGAGCAGCCATCGTTGGCATTCGGCGCACTTCCTCTGGCGGTCCTCGCGTGTCACATCAACGCCCAAGCCATTGGATGCCCAGGAGTCTAGATTCTCCTGGATAATGGGCAAGAAGTTAGACAGAATAATACGAAGTGTATCGCAGGCACGTGTAAAGTGGCTGAAATGTAAGAATTTCGAATTAATTTAAGGGCTTGTCGTGTTTTTCATTCTACTCACAACTTGTGTTGACTCTGCAGCAGCTCGTATAGCTCTGGCAATACAAACATGCAGAAATCCAAATTCCACGATGACCTAAAAGATAATTTTATGGTATTATTACCAAGGGAATTATATAAAGCTTGTGGGATCTTACGGCTTTCTAGTATGGCTCCGAGCAGGTCTATAAAAATAGATCTGCCGCAGTTCTTCGCCTGCCTCAGGGCGCCTAGGACATCATGCGACCTAAAGGTGGGGTATTAAATTTGATTCAAAACCTATTCCTTGTATTCCTTTTGCTCCTCATACTCACCGCGTAGCGTTACGCAGCAAATCCAGGCTAGACTGGCGATTGCTTAGCTCCTTAAGCACAGCCTCATGCGGTCGCGAGAGAACATCAAAATCGTAATGATGATCATCCGCAGTGATTCGATTGTTCAGTGGCTGCTTCAAAATAAAAAATATTTCACAATAAAGCAAAATATACAGGAAATGAAGTGAACAATGTGCTTACATGAGCATTATGAGACTTCTCCTGAGCCTTGGACTGCTGCTGCTGCGACGAACGCATATCCAGAGTGGTGCGGGAACGCATTGGTGGCTTTGTTATGATCTCCACACTGATGTTCTTTTGCTGCTGCTGGCTGTTCTCTTTGTAGAACTGGCTTTGCCCGGCCGCACCCATCGGCCGCTTGTTCTTATTGACCACATTCGAGGAGGATGACTTTTTCAGTACCATATTGTCGTCCAGCTTGTGCAGTTCCATGGAGCTGACGGAGGAGACCTGGCTGAGCTTACTGGACGTTTGCTTCGTGCTGGCCATGCTGCCCGTTGTCCGCTTGTGCAGGCTGGTCATTGTTGTCTTTTTAATCGATTTTGACGAGGCATTAATGGTGGAGGACGCTGCCACAGCGGATGTGCTCTTGTAGGGATTGGCCATGTAGTTGAGGTTTTGATTGACGGGGAAATCCTCGGCCATCTCGTAGTTGTCGTAATTAGTGAGTATCGGCGGATTGCTGTCATTCAAAGGCTGTACACCCGCCTCTGCATCAGAGTCCTCGTCTTTCCCCAGAGAGTATATATTGTAGTTGTGAAGCGAACTCGGTCCGTTCATTGACTGTAGGCGTAGGTGACTTTGGCTATCTATGCCATAGTTGGCACCATAGTTGGCCTCAATGTTGTTATATGAGAGACTGTCGGCTCCACGCGAGTACTTGCCCTGCCTCAGCGATGCCTCGCCATGACCATACAAACCGCCGTGATATGCCAGGTCTGCCCCCGATGAGGAGGAGGACCCTGGCATTACCGGTAGCTGGGCAGGCGGCAGTGAGGACATTGGCGATGTCTCTGCAGATTCTAGCACAGCCTCATTCACAACCTCCAGACTTAAGTTGGGCGACGACAGTTCACTCTTATTGTCCTCGTGCTCCTCTCGCACTTGGGCTGGCTTGGAGCCGCCCAGCGACAGTCGAAACTTTTGATTGCCACGCGTGAAGCTCTTCCGATTGGTCGAGTTGTGCTTGAAATTGGGCAGCGCATTGGCCGGCTGATAGAATGGTATCACACGGTCCAGGCTGATGGTGTTGATAGAAACGGTGTCATCCTCATGACAACCGCAGATCTGCACAGGATCGAAAAATAAGAATCTTTTGAAGAAAACCAAGGAAACCCCCTACTTACCAGCTTATTCTTGATCACTTTCATGTCGCCCAACGAGGACCAGGTACTCTTGATATGATCAAGCTCACGATCTGGCTCCCAGCCAATGACAGAAATGCCAGATGCACTCCCCACAAAGAGGCACTCGCCATTTTCACTAAAGACAAAGGCAAAACACTCTCAGGTTATTACAAATGAAGGGAAAATAATGTATATATAGCGATTTACCTGAACGTAATACATTTTATGGTTTGGCCATAAAAGTGTGTGGTCTGCGACACAAGCTGCTGCTGCTCCAGATCGTAGATAGACACGGTTCCATCCACACGGCCGGCGGCTAACAGGAACTCAAACGGATGAAACTGTATGCAGGTGATGGCTGTTACCGGGGGCTCAGCTATAAACTCCATAATCTGTTTGCTCTTCCGTATGTCCCAGATGATAATGGAGCCCTCCAGGCCAGCGGAGGCAATCCATAGTCCGTCTGGAGAGAATTTCACAGAGTTGACATGTGACATGTGTCCCCGGCAAATCCGAATACATTTGTTTTCATTCTGCACGTCCCACAATCTAAAATATATAAGAGGTATTTGTGTATAGATACTTGAATGTGAAAGAGTGCTTCCCGGCAACTAGTGGCGTCTCGCTCTAAACCATGGCTATAGAAAGGATCCAGCTGAGTTAAACCTTAGCTGAGTGTCTGAATCACTCACCTCACGGTGGTATCATTGCTACCGGATACCACATACTCCCCAGAGGGATTAAAGTCCAGAGTACGAACACTCTTCATGTGACCATTAAGCGTAGAGTATATTTTCTGCGCATTCAAATCCCATCGCCGGATAATTCCTATATCATCGGCAGAGTACACAAAGTTATCCTTGTAGGCGAAACGGACGCAGTCAATGGAGCGATTGTGGCCGGTCAGGGACTAAAGGGAAAACAATGCATAAGATGAGCAGTTATTCAGAGCAATTATCTTGAGGTCAACTTACCATAAAGCATTCATTTTGTCCAATAGCCCAAAGATTGACATTACGATCCTCTCCACCGGTGACCAGCACTCCACCCGTCTCGCCCAGATCCAGGCTAGTGACCCTGCTGTCGTGCGCCTTAATGTCATCTGGAAAAGGATGGAAAGAGTTTTAGTGGGAGGTAATTTTAGTTAAAAGCTTAAAACTGGGTGAAGGGTCATTTCCGACCCTATAAATCATATATATTCTTGATCAGCATCAACAGCCGAATCGCTCTAGACATTTTATGAGACAAATTTTTTTTTTTAATTTTTCAATTTTTTATAGGGGTTATATCGTTAAAATTAAAAAAAAAATGATAAAAATTAAATTTTTTAAACATTTTAATTGAGTATGCAGATTTTTTAAGCTTGTAAAAACTAACATTGGAACGCTTTCCGAATTAAAATTAAAGCTTTTTTGGCTGAGTTATGCGTTTTTTAAACTTTGATTGATCAAGAAAATTGTCATATAGAAATAACGAAGTTAGTTTTCTTTCTTCTTTTTCGAATAAATGTATAATAGCTTTAAATTAGATCTGTCTTGCTTGAATCATCAGGAAACCGGAACAATTGATTGTCATTTTGGTCACGACAAAGACGAGCACGATGTGAGAAGCCTCCTTTGCTAAAAAAAACATGTTTAATGGAAATGTGGTGTTGCTGGGACTTATGCCAAGCCTATTTTAGCTCATAGTGACTATTATTACCTGGATGAGAAGTTTTTTTTTGTTTAATTTCATGGCGGTAGACTTTATTTTGGGACTAATACTGGTTCTAAAACTTTGATTCACTTCTGTGAACAATAAGTTATAGATCTGCACATCTTTTACAAGAATAGAGACTAATATCGGATAATTTCAGAAATTTCCCTTTCTAAGTCTAACTAATTAACTAACTTATCATTTGCTAACTTATTTAGTCAGCACTCGAATTCATATTGTTTCTGAGTACTTAAACAAACATTTTGAAATAGTTTCGCTTTCCTAAAGTACTTTGATTACCAGATTCTTGGATTTAAGTGAAACAAAAGACTAATACATATGTTACATATGTCCACATAGGTAAATATATACATTGTACTTTGTTTATAATTCAACATAAAAGAAAATTGGGGACAAACTGTGATTGAATATCGCCAACTGTGTACGGTGATTTTCTGTGCCTGGCTATTACCTATTGGATTACCTTACTGCTAAAATGAGGCAGGTGGCAGGCAAACCAGATCCCCATTATTTCCAATAAGTAAATACGAGCTAAGCTGTGAACACACATATTGCACCATTAGAATAGATATCAAATTCGTCACCTATGCAAAACTGGCTGTCGAGCGGCGATGTTACAAGATAAATTGTGTTTGTAGTAGAGTAACTACCGTAAAAACAATGCCTGCAGGTTGTGGGGCTAATACATAGGTAATTTCCTATTGGTATCTCAGTCTCAATGCATTCGGTGGACCAAAGTTGGTCTTAAGAGCGGCTGCTAGAGTCTTTTAAGGTGCAGAAGGTGCAACAACAATTGTCTGCCGTATGCCTGTGTATGTGTGATGTGCGACACGACACGACACACACTCACGTCCGCCTCCCAGGTCGTAGGTGTGTTTGTATAAGTTCGTGTTCGTGTTGTTCCCACAACGGTACTTTCAACCATTGCGCTTTACTTACAGATCTTGTTTATTAAATTCCTTGGCAGGGCCATCTTCACACAACTTGGTGTTATATAAATAGGGTAAAGCCGACGAAAAGCCTTTTGCAGGCCAGTTTTGTAAATAAATCTCACTTATTCGTAGCAGGTGTGAGGAGTAATAGTCTGTGGATCAGCTGTCTTGTTTTTTTAGCTGACGGCCTCAACATCAAAGCTCCTTCTTTTCTTGCAAACAAATACGAAACGAACATAAACGCGAGGACACCGGGACATCTACACCATTATACGTTGCTACCACCGCGATCTCATCGTAACAAAACAAATAATGCAACTGGAAAATCGGCCAATTCTTGTGGACAAAAACAAATGCACATTATAATTATAGCGACGACGAGGGATGCTAACAGCTATCGATGACCATCGATGGCAGCCAGGGCTGCGTGCAACAGGTTCGCGATTAATCGGTTTAGTGCTGGGCAAGAAATATAATTATTTATGTTTTTTTAATATATAACATAGTCGTCCGATCCGTTCCGTTCCGATTATATACTAGTGAGAGTATATAAAATACTAATTGCAAATATTCATTCAGACAGCTTTAAAACTGAGAAATTTAGATAGATAAAATCCAGCTTTGTATTCATACAAAAAATCAAAGTCTTTATTATTTTATTTATTTATTTAAACGTTAATTTTTTGAACAATTATTTTATTTATTATTTTGATATATTAGATTTAAACTAATTACCTAAAAAAAACAATTATCAACCCATAAAATATCGATAAATTCTCTCATATCAAAGTTCTCAACCGCAAGCATACCCATTTTCTGGCTTATTTAGTGCGTAATGCGAATTTTTTCGGTATATTTGAACGGTCCAGCCGCGGTCACACTACGCCGAGGCATCAATCGCAAATTTTGTTTTTAATTATTTCCAAAGGGCAATCGGCTGAAGGTGCGGGAACAAAAGCTTCTGACTCCGCTTCTGATCGCGAGACGGAAACGCAGCTGATCCTGCCGCCCCACTCGCTATCCTTGCCGTGTGTGTGCGGGTGTCGAGTGCTTTCGCTGCGCCAGTGTGTGTGTGCGCCTGTGTTTTTGTCCGCCTCAGTGAGTGCTGTTTGTGTGTGTGTGTGTGCTTGTGTGTGGCTGCAAGCGAGTGTTGCTGTGCGTACGTGTGTGTGTGTGTGTTTGGGGGATCTCGGCGAGAGCAATTCCCCAAAAGTCGCTCTTTTCACACTTGGTAAACAAAAACAAAACAATTGGATGTGACCTGGTCCACATCCGTGCCAAGCACCACCATTACTCGCCCAAGAAGCAACCGAAGCAGCCGCAACAGCAACACCAGCAGCAGCAGCAGCAGCAGCCAGCGAAGCAACATGTCCTCGTCGACGTCAGAGCGCAAGCGCTACCACAAGGACAACGCGCCCACCGACGACATCCTCACGCTGATCAATCTGGTGCGCCAGAATCCGGCCCTGTACAACTACAAGCTGCAGCCCAACCAGCGACGCCGATCGGACGTCCTTAATGGCTGGCAGGAGGTGGCCCAGCAGATAGGCAGTGAGTATTAGGATCCTTTCAAGTGGAGTTCATGGAGTTTGGTCTCAAGGCAGTTTCCATTGGACATTCCACGTAATCTGGCCCAAAAACGAGGTTTAATGCATCGACCAGTGCATCGACCATTCAAATTTCTCAGAATTGGTTTGCGGAAAAACATGGCCTAGTTTTAGGCGTATCGGGTTTATTCCAGGGAAACCAATCTCTAAATATTTATCCCTTTAACAAAGAATCTATTAAATTAACAAAGAACCCTTTCCAGACAAATACACGGTCCAGGAAGTGCGCCGCAAGTGGAAGAACCTGCGTGACACGTACCACCAGTACCGCCTGCGTACACCCAAGTGCATCGAGGGACGTCTCTCTAAGTGGCGATACGCCAAAGAGTTGGATTTCCTATCGACGGTGTACCAGCCCAAGTTGAAGTCGCATCGTACCACCCAGAGCAGTGGATATGAGACGGGCAACGGCAGTGGTGACGGTGGCGGAGGGGGAGGAGGAGGAGGTGGCGGCGGAGGAGTGGGCAGTAACTCCTCCAATAACAGTCTGCCCATTGGGGCTATGTTGCATCTAAAACAGCACGATGAGGACGATGACGATGACGAAGTGGTGGACGATGATGGTCAATCGGACCATGATACAGCCACATTGTCCTCGCATCATGGCGCCTCACAGATCACCCTGGTTAGCGACGAGGCGGAGACCTTCATCCTGACCGCCTACGAGGAGGGTGTGGCGGATGATACTGTCTCGCAGCATCATCACCACCACCACCATCATGGCCACCACCACCAGCAGCATCATCACCACCAGCAGCACCATCACCATCATCATCACCATCAGTCGCAGCACGACGGCAGCATCTCCAGCATCGAGCTCTCGCAAATCGCCCACGATGACGACGTGGTCGATGATGTGGACGACGAGGACGATGTTGTCGATCATGATGGCCATGTGGTGGACATTGTCAAGCACGAACTGGACGAGGACGGAGCCACCGGTGCGGAGGTGGACTACGAGGAGGTCTGCCTGTACGAGGAGGCCAGTGGCGCTCATGTCGACTGCGAAATGGGCGTCGGTGATGGCGTAGACGGTGGCAGCGACGTGACCCATGGCAAGAGCTTCCACTACATCGATGCCCATGACTTTTGCATAGCGGACATTGAGCCACAACCGGTGCGCTCCAGCCAGCATCAGTTCCAGAGCACCACGGCCTCAGCATCCAATAGTGTTCTTGCCGGCGGCTCCTTGGTTGATGGCAAGCTTAAGAATCTCACGCTGGTCACCACCACCGCGGGCGGCGTAGGCGGCAGCGGCGGCGGCGGCGGCAGTGCAGCCTCAAATCGTCACGATTCCACGTCCGTGTCGGCCCAGCAGATTTCACTGGTGGATGTTACCGAGGCGACCAGCACCAGTGTCACCATTTCCAGCACGCCGGCAGTCTCGCTGAATGCGGCCACTGTGACCACAACGCCGGCAGCAGCCCTGTGCAACACCACATCCTTCACATCCACGCCAACGGCCACGATCCTGCAGCTGCCGTCGCTGAGCTGCGGCTCTGCGAACAGTAATGGCAATACCACCCCGTTGGCCGTCAGCGCGGCGAGCAGCAGCACCACCACTCTCGTCAAGGAGGAGGATAACCTGCAGCATCAGCAGGCCCAGCAGGTGGCCCAGGCGCTGGCCAAGCGCGATGAACTGGATCTGTTCTTTGATTTCCTCAAGAAGAAGATTCAGTGTTTTAGCAAGACACAGATAACGCACATCCAGATGGAGTTCCTCAACTGTGTCTGCCGGCAGGAGTCGGCCGATCAGGATGGCAAGGATTAGAGAGCCAGCCGGAAGTGCCCTAGCTCCCGATTCCTTGTGCCCGATCCCGGTTACCCGCCCGTAATCCCGGATTCCAGCGTAGTTGCTTAGTTTTTTTGCGTGTATAGGATTATAGGACTCGTACCGTTTACCAGTTTCGCAAGAACGCGTTCTTCACTTAGCTTTACCCCCTCCGGCCCCCAGGAAATCCCACCCCGAATCCATGCCCACAGCCCGCACCAAGGCCTCAAAACCCTTCATCCAAATTGCGTATACATATATACATGCATATATATGTAACAAATTATAGATATACACATAACCCAGAGTTATAAACAATTGTAATTGATAGTAAGTAAAATAAATCGATTCTCGAAAGTGATGTGAACAGGTTGTGCTTAGTGGATACCCGGAAAAATGCCCTGGACGAGGCAGCTTGAGTTACCCCGAAGCCAAACAGTGGACAGTGGAGACTTTCCAGTTCTTCGGAGAAGTTAACTGAGGAATCTGGATCTATGCTTTCCTTGTAACTTGGACATAAACTAAATTGTTGGAAGAATGGGGAACATCCACCGAGCGATCTTATGATCTGAAGTGAGCCTTGAGTACGCCCTGACTAAGATCCGTAGGACTGCCCGTGACCTGTTGATCCTTGAGAGCATCACCAGAGACACATTGTGATGCGCCTGGACTCCCAGAAGCACATCGAAATCTCCCCAAGCTTGCCCCCTTCATGACAAAAGGTAGGACACAGCGGTGGTGTTGCCGAAAAGAAGCAAGATTAAACAGACGGTTAACCAGAAGATGTAGTTGTATATAAAAAGTTTAAGTTTGTATAAACGTGACAATAACTTTTCTTAAACAGTGACCTCCTGGTTATCCTGGCTTCTTTAGGTGTCTTCTTCCCAAAGGTAGACACACACACATTCGAATTGTCTTGAAATTAGTCTGTAACTCAATTTGCATTTGTGATTTTCCGCGTGGGGATTTATTTGGCGCGGCGGCAGTCGTCCGAGGTCCGATGGCGGATAAAACAAACTTAAACGCAACACTTAGGCTAGTTAGGCTTGAAGGTTAGCTCGTAAAATATACACATACAGGTCTCTTGCAGGGATCACGCTGCCGGCGCAGTGATGCCCTGCGAGGTCGTCCCTGTCGTCTCGCCTCGCTGCAATCGGGCAATATGCTCCGAATTGAAGTAGATGACGGTGATGGTGATATCGTCACGATACAAACGCACCACATCCTTGGGCAGCGACAAATAGTACGAGATCTTCGAGTGCTCGATGCCATAGTCCGTGGCACCCAAAGCATTACGGATGAGATGCGTGGCCGCATTCTGGTCAACGGGCTTGCGGGTTAGCCCAGCTCTGCGGAGAGAAAACACAACCATTTGTTACATTTATCGAATGATATATGTACATTTGTATAGAATATACTGACTTTCGCTCGGCCAATTGATTGGAGATTTGCTGCAGTGTTATATCGCCCTCGGGCAGGCGCATAGGTTCAAGGATCTTCTTCGAATTGATGTGTTCACCGACGAGGCTGACCACCTCGCTGGGTGAGAGGAAGTCCCAAAGGCCATCGCTGGCTATGACTAGAAACTTGTCGTTGGGGCCCAGCTCGTGCTGCTGGACATCAGGGCGGGCGGTCAGGTACGGGGGCGTATAATAATTGGGTGCCATTGTGTGTTCTCCAAACATGGGCACCACCTTCTCATGCATAATGTCCACAGACCATTTGTAGCGGAAGTCGCCAAAGGCCCGCAGGGGCGCAAGTTGACTCAGCAGTCTGCCATTCCGGATCACCGTCTCCCGCTCATCCTTGGGATGCTCGGCGAGAATGCGACGCACCTCGGTCATATTGTCTGCATTGTGCTCGGTGTTCAGCTTCTTTGGCTGCCACTGCTGCGTCTGTGGATCCAGGACACCGAGCACAGCGCCGCAGTCTCCAGTGCTGGCCACGTGCAGCTGTAATCCCTCCAGATGAACCAGGCAGGCAACGGCTCCTTAAATGGTAAAGAGCTAAGTGAAAACTATAAAGTGAAAAAACGATAGACTCTTTACCTGATAGAGCCACGCTCATCGTGCGCACATCGGTGTGGGACAGCGCCTCCTCGGACAGGCCCTCGTCTAGCTGGAGGAAGGCATTCACCAGCTCACTGGCCACATCCCGCTGCGGCGTCTCGCTCAGCTGCTTAATGTACTTCTGGAAGCTGGCCTCATAAATGGGCTTGATCTCGCTGACAAAGTCCACATTATCGTTGTGGCATTTGAGGAAAGACTGGCTGCTGCAGCCCTCCTTCATCTGTGCCCTGAGCACTTGACGCGGCAGCGTGGCTGCAGATACATATCGGAGCAGGCGCTTGGATACCACCTGGCCGCAGGAAGCTCCGGCATGGCCATCAAAAATGCCACAAATGAAGCCGTTGCGATGCAGCAGGCTGGCCTCAGTGCGGGAGTCCTCACACGGTGAATTCGATCCCAGCTGATTGGTCTCATAGCTACGGATGATCCCCTCCACGGGGAAATTGTACACGAACTCGTTCTCCCTCAGAACTAGGTTAACCTGTGGAATAGGGAACAATAGATTAGACTGTGATCATGATTCAGGAGACGATTTTGAAAAGGATTTAAAACCGAACGGTTCAGTTATTTAAATCTAAGCAAAGGAAACATAAAGCTTTTGAAGACAATAGATTAAATATTGTTTAATGATTTAATTAGAAACTCGTGCATTTCCCTGGATAATTAATATGCAAGGTCAAAAGTGGATACAATTCCCGAATTTTACATAACAAAATAAGCTGGGAATTGCATTTGATATTTGGGAAACATACAAGTAAAGGCATATAAATAAAGATATATGTATGCCTGATGTTTTTCTTTTAAATATACATATAAATTCTGACACATACAAAATAAACAGGAGATATAACAAGGTACCAGGGACCAGGGTCTCTCCGGCTCGCCTCCCCCCCCCCCCGTACTTACATCGTACGGACTCAGCTGCGGCAATTGCGGCAGCAGGCGCAGTGCGTTCAGGCTGAACTCCCGGACATTGGCGCGCACGTAGCTGGCGGCGTCGTTCAGCACAAACTTGAACATCTATGCGGCTATATAGCGATATCTCCTATATGCGCACCGCCTGCAGCTATAATTAACGGTAATAATATTTGTTCCGTAACCTTGCGCGCACGTTGGAAAACCGGCGGAGAGGGAGACAGAGATTTACGGTACGATGCGGAACGGGAGTCGGGCGGAGGAGGTGGAGAGTCAGATCGGAATGGGATTCCGATAACTGGGATTGACTAGCTTGATTTGACTAGCTGCCCCGCCGGCTGCTGGATGTTGTAGGGCGATTATATATCGAAGCTGCTACCGATAGGCCGGCGTTAAGTCTGAACATTTGTGTGCGGGAAAAACGAACAATTTCGACGGAAAACAAACGTAAAATAATACGTACATATATATCTACAATCAAACAGCTGTCAGACTGACAGTTGTACAGTGCTGCCAGATCTGGGCGACCACCCGATTTAGCTTTTTCAAGCCAAATCTAGCCAATTTCAAATGAAACAATCATATATAATTAAGATGTGTTTTAAGTTCAATTAAATTTAATTAATATGAAGTGATTGCGTTAAAATGTTCAACTGAGATCACAATTAAGTTTACGGTTATTTTAAATGAAACATGAAAGTTTTTTTTTTACCTCTAACGATAATTTGAGGTCTTCTTGAGGACATAAGATGTATAACAAGTAATAATAAAATATTGATATTTTTAATATTAATTGACCCCAATGCTTGATAAAAATTCTATATATTTCAACTTGACCAAACTTTTTATTAAAAAAAATTAAATAATGACGATTTTTAATTAAATAAAAACTAATATAGAAAAGGTTTCCGAATTAAAATTTATGAATGTTCTATTTTATGTCTATGGTATGTTTTGTATTTTTATTTTCAAACTTTTATTCATCCAAAATAATCAGAATAACACTTATACATTTTCCCCACATTATTATTTTAAATTCAAAAAATAAATGTATTTGTATTAATGGAATTATTAATGGAACTTCGATGAATTATCTAATGGTTATTACCAAGTTTAATCCTTTTAAACTCCTTTTTAGATATTTTTAAATAGATTCTAGCTTTTTAAAATATCTTTGATAGTTATATCTATCGATAGTTACCCATTGTCTGGCAGCACTGTCTTTATCACACACACTCACACAGTCGCAGGTTTTCGCATTAGAAAAAAACACAAAACAAAACAAAAGGCTGCAGTTGAATTCCCTGATATTTTCCTTCCGATTAACAATCCACCAGCATCGCGGAGCCAGGAATACAAATATTAAAGGATCCGGAAATCCGACAAAAGGAAAGACTCGCAGCCTGGCAGCAACGAGTCGGCCGACACACAGCGGACGGAACAATTTGCGTCTCAATCCGCATCCGTCGAGGCGTAGGAGAACTCCTGGTTTATTGAAACACCTGCCCCAGCTTCCGCAGCCCGGCCAAAACCATGGTGGAGCCAATTTTCGAGTACCAATTTCGGATGATCCTCATCGGCGACAGCACCGTGGGCAAGAGTTCGCTGCTCACGTTCTTCACAGACGGCAAGTTTGCCGAGGTGCGTATGCGTTGCGTCCCACTGTAACATTGTGGGTCAAGTGCGATCTCCGCCGATCGGCGGTCAGTTCAGTTAATGCTTCGATTACATAATTAAGTAACAACAAAGAATAGACAAAGGAAAGGGAGTAGTCGTCAAGATGCTGCTGCCTTAGTCACCTTGTGTGTGTGTGTGTGAGTGTGTGTGTGTTTGCGCTGTCGCCTGATAATGCAGGCGGACAGCCAATAACAACAACCATACAAGGCTGTACAAGGAACAGGGTTGCCACATCGAAAGCGCGCGCAATTTGAAATGTCTTTTTAGATAGTGAAAGGGATATTGTAAAAATTGTAATCATGATTGTTTAGTAGTTTCTTCTACTGTGGGAGCCATATAACAAGGCAATCAATGTTGTAATGCCTATACATGCTATTGCAGCTCTCCGATCCTACAGTCGGAGTGGACTTTTTCGCCCGCCTCATCGAGATGAAGGATGGTACACAAATCAAACTACAGCTATGGGACACCGCCGGCCAGGAGCGTTTCCGGTCGATCACCAAGTCCTATTACCGCAACTCAGTGGGTGTTCTGTTGGTGTACGACATATCCAATCATGCCAGCTTCGAGCACGTACCGCTTTGGATGATGGAAGCGCAGCGTCACATTGAGCCCCATCGACCCGTATTTGCGCTGGTTGGCTGCAAACTGGATCTGATTAATGCTGGAGGCCATCGTGAGGTGACCACAGAGGAGGCACAGAAGTTTGCCAAGCAGTATGGCCTGCATTTCGTTGAGACATCGGCCAGAACGGGCGCAAATGTGGAGGAGGCCTTCCGCATGGTCACCCAGGAGGTGTACGCCCGCATCCGGTCGGGCGAGTATAAGGCCGAGGATGGCTGGGATGGCATTAAATCGGGCTTCGCGAGGCCAAACAGTCTGGACTTTAATCTTGTGGTCGCGGAGCCCGAGAACTCGTCCTGTTGTTGATTACCCCTGCCCCTGTCAATGTCGCTGTCCCAGTCCCCGTCTTTGCCCCGCCATTCTTTTACCCGACTGTGTTTACGTCTACTTGTGTACATTTATATGTATCTAATCCGTAAGCCCAGGTCCAGGCCCATCCCCTTACCCACTTTGTTGACTCTTATAATCTTGTTTAATGGCCTAGTTTAGCTGCAAAACCAAAACATTTATAAAGTACTCTTAGTTTCGCTCCTAAGTTAATGTTAATTAGATGACTCATGGGAATTGGTTAATTACACCTTTGTTCCAAAATTGGTTAAATCATTTTTTGTTTTCGTTAGGTTTTTTTTTAACCCTTTTGATTGGCAGCAAGCCACACGAGAGATACGTAGTTTCCGAATTGCTGTGCTCCCAACTCATTCAACACATAACTACATATACAAAATACGATCGGAAAACCTATACTAATACTTGAACTTGAAATATAAACGTTTTTATTAATACGAAAGCTTGCGGTGTTATGTTAGTTAAACCAGTTAAAAAGTTCGTCTCTGTATTTGCAATATGGTAAGTATAGTAATCTAATCACAGCAATCAGATAATAATGCACTTTACTATTTTACGCAATTGTTGATGCATTTTCAGAGCAATAATTTTTACTTTTCTAGAAATTATATTTCGTATTTACTGTTAATTTTTAATTATATTTTCATTCCCTTGCAGGGTATTATAATTTCAGTCAGAAGTTAGCAACGCAGTGAAGGAGGCACCTCTGACCATATAAAGTATATATATTCTTGTTCAGGATCAACAGCCGAGTCGATCTAGCCATGTCCGTCTGTCCGTTTCTACGCAAAACTAGTCTCTCAGTTTTCAAGCTATCTGAAAGAAACCTTGTAGTTAGTCTTTTATATACTTTCACTCATATATATGTCGGAACGGGCCGGATCGGACAACTATATCATATGGCTGCCGTAGAAATTATCCGAAAATTGTTACAAAAAAAATTATAACTTTTTCAGTTTTCAACAGATTTTCATCAATTTTCAGATATATCTATTTTATATTATTCTACAATTTTGTGCCAAATTTTATGAAAATCTGACGACTATATCATATATGCGCCATACAAACGATCGTTTGATATAGAGGAAAAATGCAAATCTGTGAATGTATTACTTCATTGTTTTTTAACATAAGTATACATAAATTGATTCCTATTGATTTCTAGGCATCGAAGTTCTATCTGCAAGGGCAAATAAACTTTGGCGTGCCGTAGATAGATTCCTTTTTTGATTTTTTTTAAGCTAACTGAAATTATTTTTGAAATTTAGCCAATGTGATATATTTTAATAATGTTGTATATTTTTATAATTATTGAAAAATAATGAAATTTAACGACAATTTAAATTTGTTATTTGTTTAGAGTTTTGAATTTTGAAGTTTGTATTTATGAAAGAAGGCTTGCGGCTAAATAGCAATACCTAAAAGTAATGCTTTTCTCCACACGTCAAAACTTTTATTGTAGCAGGTAGAAGAATTTGAAAACGTAAATCATCTCACAGGTAGTCTCGCACAGGCTATGTGTTATTCTGGCAAAATTTTTCCAATTTATTTAATTTTTCACACAAGTTTTCTGATAAACTTAATTATCACACCAGTCTGGCAACTTCGCGGAAATCTCGCCATATTTAAGACATTTTTGGCAATTGCATTTCGGTCATACTCCTCGCGAACGTCCAGCTGGTCACGCTGTTTTGCCGTAACTTACAAAAAAAGCACGATTTAGCGCGTGCAGCTTGAAATTTCACATATTTTCACTACATAGAAATGGGCAACGTGCTAGCGGCATCATCTGGTCCGAGTGGCGGCGTTAGCGCCGGCGGCCTGGGCCTAGGACTGCCCGAACCGGCGCCCCTTCCCGCTGAATCGGCCTCCACCGCCACCGGAGGCAGCAGCAGCAGCACCACCTCCCTGGCGGATTTCGGTGCCGCGGCCAAGGATGCGCCGCTGGAGAATCCCGGCACCGTCGAGGAGCTGCATAAGAAGTGCAAAGGTATGTGGACTTCAGTCACCAGTTGGCCGCCGGGCCCTTCCGAATGTGTCGAATGCCGAATTCCGTCTCTCACTGATGACATAACCTACAACATGTGTGTGCGAGGGAGACGGGTATTGCTGGTGTTTTTCTTTTTCTTGTTCTTTGCCTGTTCATGCCCGTCCCCGCCCGCACCCTCACCGGCTGTGATTATGTATTATCAGGCCAGCAGTGGCCGCCTATCCATGACATTCTCATAATGTTCCCATGTTTTTATCACAGACATACAGGCCATCACCTTCGAGGGCGCCAAAGTCATGCTGAACAAGGGCCTGAGCAATCACTTCCAGGTGTCGCACTCCATCAACATGAGCAATACGATGCCCAGCGGCTATCGGTTCTGCGCCACCTATGTGGGCACCAAGCAGTACGGCCCCAATGAGGCCTTTCCCGTCCTCCTTGGCGACATTGATCCGTCGGGCAATCTGAACACCAATGTCATCCATCAGTTTACGCCGCGTCTGCGCTGCAAGTTTGCTGCTCAGGTAAGAGTGTGGCTTTCCGTGTGCTTACAGAGCTATATCATTATATCCCAACACAGATCCAGGATTCTAAGATGGCCGCCACGCAGATATCGAGCGATTATCGCGGCAGTGACTTCACCGCCTCGCTGACAGTGGCCAATCCCAGCATATTCACCAACTCGGGTGTGATCGTTGGCCAATATCTGCAGTCAGTCACTCCAGCCCTCGCCCTGGGTGCCGAGATGGCCTATCAGTTTGGCCCGAATGTTCCCGGCCGTCAAATTGCCCTTGTTTCCGCCGTCGGCCGCTATACGGTCGGCAACTCGGTGTGGTCGGGAACATTGGGACAGAGTGGTCTGCATGCGTGCTACTATCAGAAGGCCAGCGAGCAGCTGCAGATCGGTGTGGAGGTGGAGACAAGTCTGCGTATGCAGGAATCGGTGGCCACGTTGGCCTATCAGATTGATCTGCCCAAGGCCGATCTTGTATTTAGAGGTAAGCCCCAGGGCTTGTACTTGTTTTAGATATTTTATCAATTTCGTTTGCTTTCAGGCGCCATCGATTCCAACTGGCTCATCTCTGGTGTACTGGAGAAGCGTCTGAATCCATTGCCATTTACATTCGCCCTAAGCGGACGCATAAATCACGTTAAGAACAACTTCAGACTTGGCTGCGGGCTGATAATCGGCTAGAGGCCATTAAACTGCAGTCACAGACCACCTCCCCCCGACACACACACACACACCAACACACCAACACACCAACACACACACACATCCATCTTATATTTTTTTCATTCGCAAACAACAAGAACAATGAGATATACATATATAAATCAGCTGACAACCGTTTTTATGACGATCTGACTGTCGTTTGTGTATAAGATGTTCCACATTAGGAGAAAGAGAAAGAGAAAAAGATAGGGAGGGAGGGAGCGAGATGCAGATCAAGAATCTGATGGCTCCCTTTAAGCCCAGCTTCTTTCAGCCAGTGTGCCACTGTGCTTTGTCGTCCGCTTTTCGTCACCTAGTTTATCCCACTGACAGGCGTCGTCATAGAAATGCGGAGTCCAAAAAAATACAAAATGAGAAATATATATTCCACAATTTAATTTAATAGATATTTTCAATCGCAAACAACAAGGACACCACACAAGCACCACAACAATAAACTGAACAAGAAAACACCACAACAACCACAACAATTACAAATTGTCACTACACTTTTAAGTAGCTTCCTATAAAGAGACAGAAACCATACGCATTTATATCAACAAACAAAACCTAAAGCTAAGAAGCCTATAACGAAACCTGAGCAGCAAACCAGCGGAAACTAGCAGCAATCTTATAAATGCGTATGAAAATTGTATGTTACAAACTACGGAAATTGGTAACAAACTGCTTTAAGTTTATAATTTATAAATTTACAATTAGTTATAATAACAAAAACTTTGTTAAACCCACTTTTAATAACTTTGTGAGGGCGCCAAAAGGAGGAGATAGCCAGAATTCAAAATGAGACGGCGCCAAATGTTGTGAGGGTCGAAATAAATAAAAAAAAAAAAAAAAAAAAAAAATAAAGGAAGAGAAAAACCAAAACAACTCCTTAAAACCAATCCAACCAATGTGTTAAATTTGTGAAATAATTAATTTACATTGTAATTAACCCGTTCCCAAAACAAAAACAAAATGAAAAACAAAAAATATCAACAAAGATCCATAAAACAAACAACAGAGAAAACAAGAGATGATAAAAAACAAAAATAGGTTTTAGCAAAAAAATAAACAATTTAAATACACTTACGGTTGTGGTTTTACTCCCCAATTCCCTTTTACTACCTTTCACTATCTATTTCTTATCTGTAAGAGCACTTGAACTTGCAGGTAATTCTCATTAGCATTAATTAAATGACTCAATTAGCATTTTATTATGAATTATTATTGAGTAATGATTGCTATTAATTTTTTTAGTTGAATTTTTAGCTCATAAATAGGTTTAATATTTATACCTATACAAAATTTATATTACTTAAAACTTAGTGATAAAATCGGTACGAAATTCGGAGTAACTTCCAAGTTTTTTATAAATAATCACGAATAATATGCTTAAACTTTTAAAGTTTTTTTTTCACAATTTTAAGCACAATTTCGTGTAGTTCCCAGTCATTGGTCGCATATGTTGTTGCCATTTTCCGATTTTCACTGTAAAAGTCGAAAAGTTCGTATAGAACAAAAGCCTAAAATAAAAGTAGGAGCTTTTCGATACCCTAGTTTAAACAAGATACTTTGAATTACATTATATTATGTATACGACCCGTTGGCCATAGGAAAACCAATATCATTACAACTTTAAATTCCCAAAAGTATGTAAGGTATTATAAAAACCTGAAATTTTCACAACTCTCTCCTGTCCGAACTACCCATTTGATACCCTATCGTTATGACAACAGCAAAAGCAAATTATATGCAAGCAAACTTTGTTCAATCAGCCATAGAAGCGATTCTGTTGCTTTTGCTTTTGTTGTTGTTGTTGTTGTCGCTTTGCTAGTGCAGTAGTCGCAATATTGTTTAGATAAGAAAATGTTGCCACTCATACACACATTTTCCGCTTTTCCTGCTTACCCCCCCCGCCCTCGGGTCTCTGGCTGCCTATCAAAATGGTTTTTGCTGTGCACATTTTCTTTTCGCTGCCTCCTGTTTCTCCCTCCGTCCCCCTGGTTCTTCTGCCTTTTTGCCAAATGCAATTTGAACTTTGGGAAAAAGCGGCCGCCGCTTCAGCAGAGTTTTCCAGTGTCCTCCTCACCTCCCCTCTTCTCCCCATTCCCTCAGCCAAGAACCCTTTTTCCCCTGTCCATGCCATTTGTGCGATAAGCAGGACAGCGACTTTCATATTTTGTGAAATTTTCAGCATTTCCTTTTTCCCCAGAGAGCAGCTCTTCCATGTTAGTGTGTGCACGAAAAGAAATAATATAATATATATTTGTTGATTTTTTTAGATGAATTGAAATATGGGAATAAATAGTTTAAGTGTAAATAATAGTAATAATAATTTTAATATTGTATCCCCTAAGAATGTTCTGAGTTCATTTACAAGCTGAAATGCTTATCAGAACATATTCATCAGCATTAAAGCTGCAGTTCTTTTCTAATTAATAATTATATTTATACTTTTATATTTATTTTCTTGCAGTGTGCACCGTTTGTATGTAAGCCGCGAAAGCTGTTTTCCAATTCAATTGTCCCATGCCCCCCATGCCCCCTCATCCTCCCCAGGCGCCAAAATCCACTCATGGCCAAGACAAAGGGAATTTGTGTCAAAAGAAGGGCCAAGTGGGGGGTCAGCAGGAGCAGAAGCAGGAGCAGGAGCAGCAAAAACTCATTAACATATAAAGTAGCCGCGAGAATTGTGCAGACAAATCTGGTAAGTAATTACGCAACAGACGTCCAGTGCCTGACATGGCTCATAAGGCGCACTGCCTCAGAGTTGGTGGAGAACTTAAGCCAAAACTGCACTTGAGCCACTGAAATGTTTATTCGTCCCTTTTGGCGTAGTTCTCTTCAGTTGGTCAGAAGAAGGGCTCAGTGCGAGGCTTAGCCAGTAATTAGCAGCTCATCCTCCTTCATCTCATCCCCATTTTCCAGGATTTTAAGCTTGAGATAGAGCCACGAGAATTTAAACTTAAGTCGCAGAAAGCTTCAATTACTTAGGATACTTTAAACTAATTACTTTTAATTGGAGCTTAAACGCTGTTGTATTGTGATATATTCTTTTTAATTTAGTAAGCTATTTGAAGAGTTGGAAGAGATTTTTAAATGTTTTAAAATTGTTAAATTAATAGAGATTTAACTGATGAATTTGTAGATCAATAGGTGGGACTTTTATGTATATTAATTTAATTAATGTAATAATAATTTATTTCAAATTATAAACTGCGATTTCAAGTCACCAACTTAATGGCTGTGAAGTTCTAGAAGTAAACTCATTAGCACTTTGATTAAATAACTAACTGTTAATCCATTTTGTAAGATTTTTATGTGGATTACCTTCAGTATATTAATTTATTTTATGTAATATTATTTTTTTCATATTATAAACTGCGATTTCAAGTCACCAACTTAATGGCTATGAAGTTCTTAAAGTAAACTCATTAGCACTTTGATTAAATAACTAACTGTTAATCCATTTTGTAAGATTTTTATGTGGATTACCTTCACTTTATTAAATTTGTTTTAAATTAATATTTTCGTAGATAATTTTTGGGAGTTAATGTAAAAATTTTAAATGTCAAGTACTTCTTTTAAACCTTAGCACCATATTTGAGCATGAATATAAAATAGTTTCTCTCATAAAATTTAGCTTATATTTAGTTTGAATTAAATCTTTGTCCAATGCATAAAATTTAGACAGCTTTGCACTGCATTTTAGCAAACATGTAAAATAGTTTCCCAAAAGAAAATTAAGTTTACATTTGATATATTTAATTATATATTTATTAACAAACAGTTTGGACCAGAGTTAAGTTATATTTAGAGTCCTTGGTGGCTTTCTGCTCGTCTTGTTTGTTTGCTTAAAACAAATTACTAGCTGAGTGAGAGAAATTAATGAACTTTAAGCCGGGCCAGTACACAGCAACTAAGTGCGTGAGCAATTGTCTTTTGCCAGTAACTCAACTCTACCTCTGCAAATGAAACGAAAGGAGAGGCTGGCGGGTTGGTGGGTGTGTGCTGTATGCTTGGCATATTTACGCCAACTTTAGTTATTTGAATTACGTGACTTCAGCAACAGTTCCATGACTGACTCGAACACACACACACACACACATGGAAAGACACACACACACACACGGGAAGCTTAAACTTTGTGCAATTTTTTAAGCACACACTACTTACTTTACTCACCCGTACTTACTATCTGCGTCTGTTGATTACAGATGCATGTACCATACACGAAAAAAAAAAAAATATTGAAAAAGGGTATCCATACGAAAGGGGGGTAATACCCTACAAAATGTGACTTATAAATATGTTTTTAGAAGGATTTCAAGACAAATGCTTGCTGAAAATATTTTAAAGCATACTTATTGGGGTCTTGGAAACTGCTTAATTCATTTGTAATAAAGTAGTCTGCTATTCTTGGACACTTACTGTTTTTTTAAATCTCTAAATCTCTAAAGATCTTTAATTTTTCTGATATTGTTTTTTTTTAGTCTTTTTACTTTGTTATTATCTATCTTTCCCAAGAAAGTGTATCAAGTCCTTGGTCTTTATTATTACAAGTCTTTCACTGCCATCTCCACTCTTGGCCCCTATTGTTGTTATTGCTATTTTTGGCTTTGAGTTTCTAGCCTTAAGCCAAATAAGTGTTTTAGCCGTCATGCAGGAGATAGGAGGACGAGGCGAACGAGACATGGTTGGGGGGATGGGAGGAAGCGAAAGAGAGGAACCGGATGTTGCCACGACAGCTGCAGGAAACTCTAACTCACTTACACAAACAGCCAAAGCGCGCACCTTTCGGGTGTCTGTGGGTGTGTGTGTGTGGGTGGTGGTGTGTGTGAGTGTCTGGCCACGTTTGTGTCTGTGAATTGTTGAAAGTTAGCAATAGATTTTTAACGGAAGTTGCACATGTGCGCACGTGTTGGCCCCTTCCCTTTTGGTCCCACGAAGACCACACACACACACACCTTCTTGGCCCCTTACCAAAAAAAAAAGGAAAAGAACCCCCCACTTAACCCTCTGCCATCGCACCGCAGCAATTCATTCGTCTTCTGCTTCTGCTTTTCCTGCCCACCAAAAAATATTCGGCTTAACTCTTGGCACGTTGTAATTAAGGCTTTGTCTATGTGCATGTGTGTCCGTGTGTGTGTGTGTGTGTGGGGGGGGGGGGTAGAGCTGGTTTGTTGGGCAGTGGGCGTGGCACATCATCATCATTCAAGCGCAGCAAAGATTAGACCAAGCGATTACTGCCTCTAGTGCACGGTAATAAAAGGGAGTATATCCATTGGAAATCTGTAAAGAAATATATATAGAGATTTGATTCATACCTTTAAACCTCAATTTTCCTTAATTAAAAATATATATTCCCTTTTCACTCCTAATTTCACCAGAGATTTGTAAACTTGTGGGTCAAAAATAAAATAAATAAGTTTAAAAATATAATGAAAATAAACTTTGGGATGCTGAAGTTAATATATCCTTGCAGTTTATTGAATCGTATTGGAAATCGATCATAACTAAGCTTAAAATATTAGCATTCTTTAATAAGGAATGTATCAATATTTTATCCTAATTTTTCCTACAAATCAAATTTTAAGAAATCTCATAGCTAAGCCAAAAAGGCGTCAATTCAAAATTGGAAAGTTTCTGTATGTTACTTTTTATTAAGGTAATAAATGCGCATACTCAATATAAAATATTAAATAATGCAATATTTTTCGAAAATTTTAACGATGTAACCCCTTATAAAATTTTAAAAATTTTAAAAATATTAAATTTTTTAGGGACATAGCTAGAACTACTCGGCTGATCGTGCTGATATATAATATATATGATTTATAGGGTCGAAAATGACTTCTTCAAGGCGT